TTGAGTTTGGGTCTTCTCTCCCATCTTTTCCTTTTGGGGCTATTTCTCAAGGTAGGGATTTCCTACTCCATTTTATAAGTTTTGTTCTAAGTTTTGTATATTGAATTTGGGGTTACTTGAAATTTGGGAAAAAACCCTTAGTTGTAATTAATTAATTAATTTGTATCAATGTTAATTTAAGGTAATGGGAATTTGGTTAAATTTCATGAAATTGGGGAATTTATTGATTAAATGGGTAGTTGGATAATTAAATTCAACTCGCTAGATTGAATGTGATGATATTTTTTCCAAAGTCTAGAAATAACTGTTTTGGGCTATCGGTGGAGGATAGTCGTGATTGTTGTAGACACTGCATGTGGATTAGGGATAACTGAAACTATCATGATTAAGTCACAATTTTGACTGTTGGAAATATACAGACATTATGTGTATTGATGTGTGTTGTATATGTTATGTGTGTTTACATACATTGTTTTGTGTGGGAGAATAGGGATGTACTCCAGGTTTAGGGGAAGATAGGGGATGGACCTCTAAACCGGATTTTGTTTGGGAGGAGATAGGGGATGGACCTATTAGCATCACTTTTTGTTACTTATTTATATTGAAGTGTTTTTATTGATACAGCAGCTAAAATGTGTATCAAACTGGAAGTATGAAGTGTTTTGATTTGAGCCTGAGTCTCATTGTTTGTTGACATTGAAAGAATGTGAATATGATATATATATTCACTGTTTATTTGGCCAGGTCTGAGCTATTGATAATGTCGGAAAGTAAAACGTGTCTTAGACCATGCGGACTTTTCAGGCCGAATTCTTAAGTGGGCGGTCGAGTTGGGACAGTTTGATGTAAAGTTCCAACCGCGCACAGCCATAAAGGCCCAAACTCTGGCCGATTTCGTTGCTGAATTCTCGCCAGGAACTCATCCGGTATGCCCGGTCGATATTGCCGCGGCAGAAGAAGGGACTGCAAGCTCGACCGAGATACCACAACTGGGTGGAGTTGTCGACGCGGAAATTGCGCGCCCCACCGTAGTACCCTCAGCTTGTACAATTCAACCAACCGGTGACGCGATGACGGAGTCGGGTATTGTTGTCCCACCCAATCTGTCCGGTACCACGTCATCAGAAGGTGAAGTAATGGAACTACTCAGCACAGAGCCTGCGGCCAACATAATACCGCAACCTGGTGATTCGCCTACGGACTTAAGCATTGTAGACCAACTTGCTGAGTCCGGTGCCGAATTACCAAGGGGGGCTGGAGTGGAAACAATCAACACGGAACTTGAAACCAGACAACCAAGAAACCGTGATCCCATCGCCCTTCGCAGCTCTCAGGACCCATCAGACTGCTGGAAGCTTTTTGTGGGGGAAATGTGGAAGCTTTTTGTTGATGGAGCGTCCAACCGTCACGGTGCCGGCCTAGGTATCATTCTTATCTCACCCGATGGCAAGGAGCTGCTCGGCAAGGCAGTGCTCGGTTGGACCGAGCTGCTTGATGAGTCGATGGCGGAGCCAGTCAAGCTTAATGACCGGCGCCCGGAAAGGCGTGGTCAACCGAGGTAATCATTTAATCGGCAGGAAGGCCGACCGCAGGAGGTACCCCGGGCTAGGCTTTGCCGAGTTGCCGCCTAGCCCGGTCCTCCTTGGACTTAGCCAGTAAAGTGCTTGGGTATGAAGCACAGCACGGCCGAGAATGGAGCAGCTCGGCTGCCGAGTTCCAGCTGAGAAGGCAGGCAGTTGAGATTAGGTGATGTTCAGCAAGGTTTACGCTAACAGATGGGATAGCAGAGCCACGTGTCAGGAGATGACTGGGGGTAGATATGGGGCGCAGAGAGTATATAAGCATGTTTGCGCCCCTCATACGAGACAGACGAACATTCTGTAAGGAAATTCTCATACTCAAACACTCCTCTCTCTCTCTCTCTTTCCTAAGGTGTGTGCTAACTTGATCGTCGGAGGGTTTTTCCGGCCACACACCGCCGGGCAACTCATTGTTATTTGCTCGCAAGTGATCGGACGTAAAACGGAGCTTGGAAGAAAGGAGTACGGGCTTGACAGAATATTTGCTCCCCGTACAAGTGTTAATTAAATAAATATGATGTTAAATATAAAATTATTCTTAAAATAAATACTCACTTTAATAGTAAAGATAATGATTAAATTAGTGGGAAAATAATAACTTAAGATTAAATAGCAATTCTAAGTACTTAATATTATTTTTATTTAATTTTTCAATCAAAGATATTTAGAAATTGAAACTTTATATAAAAAAAATTAATTTAAATTTGAAAAAATTGTTAAAAAGTCCAATCTCGCAATTGTCTAAGGTATTAGATTTAGTAACTATTTTTGATTGATGAAATATATATCATGTATGAAATAATTTAGTGAGAAATCTTTTGTTGTTTTGAAAGACATTTTTTTTCCATTGTACCCATTTTCTATATGTTGAATTTTTTTGACTACTTATTTAATTTTTTCATTTATTTGTTTAATTTTTTCGCACAGCTACTAAATTTATTTGTCCAAATTTTATTATGATGCTCGGACCAAAAGTTTAAAATTAAGCCCAAGTTTGACATAATTGAAAAAAGACAAAAAGTCAAAAAGTCACTATCCTATTTAAGTCACATCATCTTATTTAAGTCACATCACCTCTCTAACCCATCACTTCAAACCCAACCCAAACCCAACCCATATTTCATAAAAAGTCAAAAAGTAAACTTATTTAATCTTACCAAACTAGGCCTAAATTTTGATAGATCAAAACTCCATGTGATAAATACTTTGCCTAAAAAGACTGAGTTAGACTTAAATGACCAAAATACCCATCTATATATATATATGGTTGTTGCGTGTTTTTCACAGATCCTCCCACACGCGCTCTCTCTCTCTCTCTTCATCTTCTGTCACTCTCTCACCTCAAACCCTTCTCCATCTCAAATCCTTCAACGCTCCGACTACTTCAACGGCGTCGCTGGCTTCGGCGTCAGCGGCATCCTCGCAGCGTCGTCTTCTTCACCGACGTCGTCTTCCTCATCTCCATCTGCCGCCGTACCTCTCTCAAATCTATGGAGCTTGAGAATGCCATCACAGATCCACGAGTGCTTGTTCTCAATCTTAGATCTGTAGTCTTTGATCTCCGACCTCGGATCTGAGTTTAAGCACTATGACTCCGCCGTCACCCGAATCAACAACGGCTAGTCGTCGGAGTCGCTGGAGTTGTCCCTTCTGCCTTAAATCGCCTCAGATCGTCCTTCGCTATCGTCTCCTTCAGATCGCAGCTGTCTCCCTCAGATCGCTGCTTCATCCTAAACTTCCTTCTTGCTCTTTGTAGATCCGCCGCTGACTGACCACCACCTTCTCTTTCTCTCTCCTAAACGCCCATCGCACCAGACATTATTATTGATCCAGTGTTGCTTTGCGTCGTGGATTCAACATTGGACAAGAAAATTCTGATGTGAAGTTGGTAGTAGCAGGGCCACATAGGGATTGGTTCAATTTGGTTCAATTCGGATATAGATTCGCTAGGTAATTGAACGTAACCTTGTGTAATTTATTTTTAATATAATTACAAATCAATATATCGAAAATTTTTAGTTTTTTCACTAATGAGGTATAACTAAGATAATTATTTGATAATACCTGATATTAGTTTGGATATTAAAGCCCCTTTCAATTTGGAGATATTAAAATCACGCGGGTTCTCCACATCACCAGCAGTTTCGTAATCAAATTCATTGGGTACAATACCTGCTCAAATATAAATAAAATAAAATATAGAAAAGAAAAGATCAAAAGTCATGCTAGATAGATGTTTAAATACCTGTTTAATTCTTTTTAGAGCAAATTTTTTATAATTTGATCTAAATTTCGAAGGTGCTCGATCAATCCAATCACAACTTGATAGTGACCTTATTTTTATGTCAATGCACCTCTTTGTGGCTTAATTGTTTCTGATTCAAGAGTAATTATGATAAGTTTTATTATAGATATTATTCACTTTATTTGGTTTAACTCAGTCATCAGAAAATTGAGGTTTTGTTTTTTTGAATTTTTTTAATATTTTAAGTAAAAATTCACCAAATACAAAAAAATATATAAAAAAATGAAAATTTAATACATTTTCTTATTTTTTTGTATTTGTTGAATTTTTTTTAAGACAAATTACAAATACACCTCCTGAGATTTACTTAAAATACAAATTGTCTTTTGTGATTTTGGAAATTACATCCCACCCATTGAGTTTGTAATTTTATAATAAATAATCATTTTATTAATAAATTATCAAGTAAATTAATAGTTTTTGATGATGTTAAAATTTTATTTCAATTATTAATTTAGGTAATTTTCTTAGTGTATAGGAGAGTAGTTAAGAATTTTATTTTTTTAAATTAATTTTGTTAAATAAAAAATTTTGATATTGGAGTATGTATAATTTTTCAAACCATATGAGACAATTCATATTTTAAATAAATTTCAAGAATGTATTTAGAATTTATCTATTTTTTTAAAGATTTTTGTATAAATTTTATACCGTTTAAATATATCTAAATTAAGTGAATCTAAAAAATAAAAAATATATATATTTAAATATTTTTAAAAATTACTAAAAATACAAAAATGTGAATTAAAAGCTTAAAAGATGATTTCTCAAAATTACAAACCAAGCAGAGCGATTGTTTCCTATACTTACAATGATAGGCTAAAATTTTCATCGTATGCCAGGGAACGAAGTCCATAGTTGCGAACCACATACTTCTGAAGGAAAATGTTTTTGAAGCCAACAGATTCAAAGCTGTCATTCCGTTTTCCTGACGTTTGTCAGCAAGATTAGGGTATGACTCCAATATGCTCATAGCCAAATCTGATTGATAAAATATCAAAGTCATTAGCTTGTTCAACGTAGCGAAAATCAAACATACACAATCAAACTCTATATTATATTACCAACAAAACGCTTATACTCAAATAAATATAAATAATACAAATTTACTGTAAAATTCTCCGTTCACGGCAGCATGGAGAACAGTGCGGCCATCTCCGGTCCTCAATCTCAGCTGATCGTCATTTATTTTTGTTTTGAGAAAATTGAAAACGTCCTCCCTTCCAAATGCAGCAGCAAGGTGAATGGGCGTCTCTCCTAATTCATTGCGCGCAAGAATTAGGTTTAGATCTCCTCCATCTCCTTCCTTTTTGAGCATTATTTCTGCGATTTCCTTGTGACCAAATCTCGCAGCTTCATGCAGAGCAATTTCGCCATTGACATTACATTTCTTGAGGTGTTCAGTGGAAAGCAGGCCCCGCTTATCAAGCTCTCTAATGGCAACCGTGTTGCCATGGACGCAGAGGATATGGAGGACAGTGTTGCCGCGTTCGTCTATTGGTGTCGAGCCTTCATTTTCTCTATAGAAATTGCAGAAGATTTGACGTGAAACTGGTTTCTTCTCTGATGCTGCTTTGTAAACATCACAGCGGCTAACCATTTTCACAACTGTATTGTATACTTGAAATAATTCTGTTGTATATATGGTCAAGGATGTGAACAAAAATTGTCATATATATATATAAAATTTCATACGCTGCTGCTATCTGACTCCTCCAACTTAGTAAGTATGTGAAGCAATGCACTTCACCAAACATAAAAAAGTACATATATGATTACTTTTTCACTCCCAAAAAAAATATTAGTAGGACAGAAAAATAAAAAAAGGAAGAGACTCAAATGAGTAATTAAATATTTTACACAATATCTGTATGAGTATTGTAATGAAAATATGTCAAGCAATGCATATGAAAAAGATGTGATGAACAAAAATGGCCATTTATAAGCTGTCATAGGCTAATTCCTTTAGTTAAAACTATCCCTCAATTTGTTTGGGTAGAAAAATTCATACGCTGCTGCTATCTGACTCCTCCAACTAAGCCTCCGTTTGGGAAGTGGGTTGACTTTTTGGCTTTTTGATTTTTTTGGCTATTTTAGCCTAGGCTTAAAAGCTTGGTTTGGGAAGGGTTTTTTCGCTTTTTTGAGTTTTTTTGTGAGAGAAGAATGTAATGATTATGGGTTGGATGTGATGTTTTGTTTGTTATGGCTAAAATAGCCTATTTTATTTTTTGTGACTAAAATAACTAAAAAAACCCGCAAACCCACTTGCCAAACACAGGCTAAGTATGTGAAGCAATGCACTTCACCAAACATAAAAAAGTACATATATGATTACTTTTTCACTCCCAAAAAAAATATTAGTAGAATAAGAAAGCAGCTTCTCTCTCATATCATAGGACAGAAAAATAAAAAAAGGAAGAGACTCAAATGAGTAATTAAATATTTTACACAATATCTGTATGAGTATTGTAATGAAAATATGTCAAGCAATGCATATGAAAAAGATGTGATGAACAAAAATGGCCATTTATAAGCTGTCATAGGCTAATTCCTTTAGTTAAAACTATCCCTCAATTTGTTTGGGTAGAAAAATATTTTTTCACATTTTTAATGTTTGGTATAATTAATTCAGCTGTGCTATATTTATATAATTTTTCTTTCACAATTCTCTCAACGAGGTGGCAAGATATAATGTGTAAGGAGAATTTTAAGAAAATATTTAAATGTGGGTTAACTTTTCAATATTTTCTTGCCCCGACATTTGGTAGGGTATGGGAGAGGGAAAATTGTGGATTAAACATTTTTCTGATTAAAAATGAAAGTTAATTTAAAATATTTTTCATAATCAATGAAAAACAAGTCTAATATTCGGGTGAAAATGTTTTTCGCATTTAAAGATGAAAAATATTTTTTAAACTAAAATCTTACTAATGTTACCACTTTTTTTTTTCTTTAATAACTTGGTATCCAATTCATTAGACCGATTAATCCCAAAAACTAATTCTACCGTCCACTTGCGGGGGTTCTAATTAAAGTCAAGACAAATGTCCTGTATAAATTGACTCCAATAAATTGTTTGCACCCATGAGATTTCAAATTTAAGACCTTAGGGAGCACACCCTAAGTACTAAACCTTAACCACCATACTAACCCCTTGAGATTTACCAATGTTACCACACTACCACTATAAACCCCCACTGCCACTACCGTCACCACCATCACTATCTCCACCATACCACTACCTCCACTATCAGCACCTTTACCTTACTATTACCACATTACCACTACTAATGTGATTATTAACACGACATAACTAAATATAAAAAAAATATTTTCTTTCAAAAAAAATCTAACTATCCGTTTGGTTTTATTTTTCAAAAACTTTTTTATATGAGTTTTCGTTTATTTGCAGCGATTTTGTTTAATATTTTAATCAATTGTTTGTTTTTTTTTTATATGCATCCAATCAAGATGCATCTAAAAAGAAAATAAATTGGCTAAAATTAAATTTTTTTTTTATCAAAAATAGATAAAAATTTAAACAAAAATCTGTGTGAATTTTTGTTCAAGTTTTCATTTATTTTTATTGATATTTTTTTTTCATATTTTAGTTAATCTTTTTTACTTTTTACATGCATCTAATGTTGATATATTTATAAAATATAAAAAAATGAATAAAATATATAAAAAAAAAATTCAGTAAAGACAAACAAAAACCTGTTTAAAAGTATTTTTTAAGAATTGTAACTAAACAATGCCTAAATTTTTTATTTTCATTTTGGTCAAAACAAATAAAGCGTATATTAAGCAATGCATTTTATTAAAGAGAAATAGAATAAGTTTTTCTTCACAAAAAAAAAAAAATGGAAAAGAAAAGAGAAATAGAATAAAGCGTTTGCCAATTAAGCGTATATCAAGCAAAGCATTTTACTAAAGAGAAATAGAATAAAGTGCATTTGTGATGATTATGATTAGCTTTTCACTTCCATAAAAAGAATTAGTTAACTAGAGATTAAAAAAAGTTTACGCATAGGATAATAACACTTTTTATACTGCCAAGAAAGTATTAGCAAACTAATATAAGATTTCGAGTTCAAAAAAAAAAAAAAACTAATATAAGATTTAAAAATAAAATAAAAATTGGTAGTGACAAAAGCCATGTTTGGTAGGGTTTATTTTTAGTTTATTTCAGTTTTTAGCTTAATTTAAGTTATTTTGATGTGTTCGGTTTAGCTTAATAATACAGGTTATAATTTTTTGTAAATCAAAAATCAATTTATTCTTTGAGCGGGGAGGAGAAACTTAATTTATAACTCAAAAATTAACTTATGTTCACAGTTATAAGGTATAAACTGTTAAATTATAAGTTATAATTACTTTCTCATATCTCTACCAAATGGGACAAAACGAGAGATCAACATGCAAGTTTCTTGCTTGGGATTCCGCTGGTTATCTTTACGACACCCACTAAAGCTATGTGGATGGGTTTTAAGAAATTATTTGTATTTGGTAGGTTTTAAACTTGAGATTAATTTGATTGAGATCGTGCTTTCACTACTAGGCCAATTTCTTGAGATTAAATTAAGCGTTGCATAGTTGAATTTGTAACAAATTAAAAATTAACATATAATTTGTCATGTCATCATAGATAAGTTGAAAAGAAATGCTTTAGGAGTTTCAATTTTTTTCCTTTCATGTCACATGTATTTCACAACATTTAAGCTAGATAAAAATGTGAGGAGAGATTTGTACGGAGAAAAAAGATAACTTGTATTTCATTTATTATTAACATATAAGAGTTTTAAAAATTAAAATTTTTTGTTCCTAAAAGTAAAATTTTATTGCAAAAAAATTTAGGAGACTAATTTCAATTATCATGAAAATTGTCGCTAAAAGGTTATCTAGAAAAGTCCAAAAAAAAAAAAAAATTATAGTGACAAAATTTTAAAAATTCATAAGAATATAGGTCTTCAAGATTTATTTTTTAATGACTTTTTTCGTCTTTAATGAATTTTTTAAAATTTTATTCAAAATGTTTTCGATTTTTTGATGAACCACAAAATTAAAAATAAATTAAATTTTAAAAAAAAATCCACTAAAAAAAAATAGTAAAAAAAGTAGTTGAGTTTTCTTGGATTTTTCAATTTTTTTTATTTTAGTTTTTGAATTCTTCTTTACTAGATGGACATGAAAAGTAAAATAATAATAATAATAATAATAATAATAATAATAATAATAACACAAATTTTTAAAAAAAAATAAAAAATACAAGAATATAAAATTTTTAGTTAGATGCCAAATGATGCCTGTTGACAAACTTAGTTAAGTGAATAAATTAGTGAAGCTAGTGCCTTAAGATTAACGACCAGACAAATTTCTATAGTCTCTTTAGGTGACTCGAACTCAAGATTTTGAAATCTTATTAGTTTTTACTGCTCGACCAACTCTTCATTTGGGCTTATAAATAGTTTAGATGAGATGAGTTTTATAGAAAAATATGTTTTTTGTTCCTTTGTTTCTTAAAATATGTCACCAATAGCGCTACGTTTGTTTGGGCCATAAAATGTTTATCGCGTTTTTTGCCGTCTAGTACAACAAAAAATATAAGTTAATGAATTTTCTTTTACATGGTCAATGAGAAGTAAGGCAATACGAGAAGAAAATATTTTCACTTTTAAAGGGCAGAAAACTTTTTCTAGAGTAAAATCTTACTAATGCCATTACACTACCATCACCTTCACCAACACACCACGACTGCCACCACAATCACCACCACCATCCTACCAACACACCATTACTACCGTACTGTCATTGCTACTGTCATCACCTACATTTCCTCCCTTACTATTACTACAATCATTACATCTACCCCGCCATCACTACCTTGTCACTGCTGTGGGAACATAATTTTGAGTTTGGCCATGTGGCATGATCTCGGGTTGAGGTACTGTAGACACCCAATTTTTGACCGATCTTTAGACTCAGACGTCACCAGTTGAGCGCTCGGTGATGTTGCATATTGTGCTCCTTCTGAGGTTTAAGAGTCTCGGCTGCGAGCCTTGCCTCTTGACTTCGGAGCTCTTTTGTGCCTTGCCTCGGTTTGCGAACCGGGTCCTGTTTTCTCCGTTTTCTCTTGCCGAAGGGAGGGAGAGGTCTCGTAGATCATCTCTCAGTGGCCGCAGGCTACGTTTCGTGGTCATAGGCCATTTTTCTTGTTTGGAGCCCGGTTTTCGATTTTTAGAGCCGTCGGCCGTGTGCCTCGGTTCGGGACCGCTTAACTACTTCCGTTTGCTCCGGTTTCTGGCACACATCTTATTTCCTCCCTTTAGAGGAACACTGTGGCCCGGGAGACCACCTTTGTGGTCATACGCCACTTCCGGTGCCTAACAGCCTGTTTTCGAGGCCCCGAACCGCGCGTTTTGGCCCCTGAACCGCGCATTTTGCATCCGTTTTGGTCCATTTTTGGCAGAGACCCTATTTTCACTATTAGGAGGATGGTAGGATGGGGGCCGGCCACCTATTCCCCTGAAAAGCCGGTTTTCTCATTTTCTCTCTCCAAAAGTCAGTTTTCCTGACAGAAAGTTGGTTTTTCCCACTTTTGAGCCACATTTTCTGGCTTTTCATACCACCATGGTGATCTACTCAACTGGGAGGCCACCAATATGGGTAGGCCGACCAGTAATTCACTTTGCCC